TCTATAAGCATTCTTATGCTTCTCATTGTGTCTGTGCAAGAATGTATGGGCTCGGGTAATCAATAAGGTGATCAATAATGTATTGATTCTAGTTCACAGTAGGGACAAACTGTGACTGTAACATCACTGCCTTGCTACCAATTCTGCTTTCTAGGACACTGATTTGGTGACCCATAACTAACGTGCTTGCTGCTCATATAACATCAATTGCATTTACTTCCTTTTGTAACACTTTATCCTAAGATTTTGAGATGTTCTCTCTCATTTCATTAACCTTAAATTACACAAGTTATCTACCATTCATGTTTTCTTTCCTTGGACTGCTTCCTTGGTAGCAGCACTTTCTTACTTCCTCTCTTCTTTCCCTGGAATGCTCAGAGTCCTAGAGTTCAAACTGTTCCTGCAGCAGACTATGCAAATTTTACAACAGATGAGCTATATCCAGGCCAGATGAAATATATCCTGATTCTCATTTTTAAAGAGCACAGGACAAGGTTTGTAGCTGTTGCAGGAGTTGCTTGTCCCTCCATCAGCTGTGTGACAGCTGAGCATTACAGGGACAGCGGGGCCTTGTCCCAGAGAAAGGAACAATTGATTCACTGCAGAGGGGAGAAGGAAGAGTTGGACCTGGGGGGTCAGCAGTTGAACCAGCTGTTTCTTTGGCAGCTCAGAGCTGTCAGACCAGTTCCCCTCAGGAAGAATTCTAAGGCAGCCCTAATGCAGATGGAAGAGACAACGTGAAGTCAAGGCAAACCCTTCCCTAAGGGAGGGCAGGCAGGATGGACACAGCAGTGCCTCAGCTCCTGCACAACAACCCCCGAAGCACATTCCCAGTGCCAAAGGCCAAAGGCTGTCACAGTGAGGGATAGCCCCCTTTGGGGTGAGAAAGGGCATTTCAGTGAAGGATATCCTGTGATTGATGGGGTCCATTCTGGGAGCAGTGGGGTACAATGGTGGATTTCTCATCTCACAAATGCCAGCCTCCATTAACAACAGCTGCACAATGACCTACTTAGGAAAAAGACAAGTGAAAATTCCATTTTGGAAGACAGCTGCCAAGAAATTAATATTTCCAAATTAATGTGGAGAGCCTGAATGCTACTGCCTCAGGCACTTATGCCAGAAAGGTTAAGTGGCACATTTAATAGATAATCTCTATGATTAATTTATCAGAAAGAACCAAGTGGCTAATTTCCCCTAATTGAAATTTTGTGGCATGATAAAAAATTTTCATATATAATTCCACTTCCATTTAAATCCATTGTACTAACTTATTATATGAATCCAAACAAAACTACAGTCTTGAATCCTGCTTTCATTTTCCACTAAGGAAACGAATCCCTTGTGTGGCCACAAAGAAATTAGTAGAATGGATTTCCCTGAGGACTGATAATAAAAAAAGGGATCAGACTGTCAAATCCAGTCCCAGGTTTCAAAGACAAAAGAGGGGCCAGATTTGCAGAGCTTCACAGATTTGGGTTTAGCAGGGGGACAAACCTGAGTGCAAGGTCACTATGGGGGTTTGGGTGGACTAGAGTTCACTTGGAGCAGCACTTTGGGGGATAAAAGCCCAGAGCAACTTGAGGGCAGGTGACTGTGTCAGTGCACCATCTCTGAAATACCTGAGCTGACTGCCTACATCTACATTTTTAAGTGTTTCTAGTAAATTAAGTGTCCTACGTTTTTAAGAGCAGGATGGCTTGCAAGGAGAGGTCAATTTTTTATTCAGACTGGCCACATACAAATTCTTCTTGAGATGTGGCACAGAAAGAGCAAACTTTTTGCTAAGGATAGACAGGAAGAAATTGCTCTGGATTTAACTTTGCTAAGTAAATCAGTTAAACAATTTGAGGGGGAAAAAACAGAGTACCTGGCATCTGCAACAGTGGAGCAAACTTGAAGGGGAGAAGTAATACAGGTCTTATACAGAACAGAATAGAGCACTTACCATTTCTTTTGGGCCATGAGGTAGAATGTGTGTGGAAAATGCCCAGGTATTGTAAAATCAGTGTCTCCATTATATCCGTGTTTTTCCTGCCCTGTCATGTTTGTTCCCGGGCTTGCCTTTTCAAAATACTTTTCAAGTCTCTCTTGATGGTCAGGTCAGCAATCACAGGTGGTGCTCACTTTGGCTAAGGCTCCCACTGCTAATTCTTTGTGTGCTGTGTTGCTTGTCTATGGGAATTAATTCCTGTATGCAGCAATTGTTTGATTCTAGTAACCGTGTGGTTCATATAGTCCAAAGTCTAATGAACTTTGGTTCATTAGATAAAACAAAATTTCAGCACATGCAGCTTTAGGAAATGTGGATATTGATGGATCTTGTGCAGATCCACACCTTGAACCCACTCTACAGATACCTGGCAGTCCTAAACTGCTGCAGGACACCTCAGTGTGGCAGCGCTGAGAAAGTGCCCCCTGCGCGGCTGGCTGAGGGTTCCTGCTCAGTCACTGGGGGGACTCCACACGCCCCATCCCAGGTCTTGCACCGCAGCTTTTGTACCAAAGAGCGCAGCTGTCGGTTGCGTTCCTGATACGTGAACATGTCTTGGCTAGAAAGTACCGCTGGGTTTTTATGTGTCACAGGTTTCACAGGTTTTAAAACTCGCGCAGAGAAATTCTGCAGGTTGCACACCCTTCCCTCTCCCCGCGGATGGGTGCGGGGATCTGTAAAAATTCCTGCCCGGTCTCGGCAGGCTTTGCCCTGGAAGCAGCCTGGGGCTGGAGGAGGGTGTGAGCCTTGGGAGCAGAGCTGGAGCCCCAGGCCGCCGGTTCCCGGCCCAGCAGCGCCTGAAACGGGAGCTGCCAACGGGAATCGGCCACTGCGAGGCGGTGCGGGAGTGCGGGATGCGGGAGTGCGGGAATGCAGAGGTCTGGGAGTGTGGGATGCGGGAATGCAGAGGTGCGGGAGTGTGAGATGCGGGAATGCAGAGGTGCGGGCTGCGGGAGTGCAGAGGTGCGGGATGCGGGAGTGCAAGAGGTGCGGCATGCAGGAACGCAAAGAGGTGCGGGCTGCGGGAAACGCCAGAGGTGCAGATGCGGGAACGCAGAGGTGCAGGATGCGGGGAGTGCAGAGGGCGGGAAAGTGCCAGAGGTTGGGCTTGCGGGAAGTGCAGAGGTGCGGGCTGCGGAGTGAGAGGTGCGGGAGTGCAGAGGTGCGGGCTGCGGGGTGCGGGCTGGCCGGGGGCTGCGATGTCGACTGGGTGGCCGCTGCTTATTTTGCCGATCGCGCGGGAGGTGGCGCCCCGCACCGAGGATTGGCCCTCCTGCGGGAGGGCCCGGGGCCCGTCCGGCCCGGCCTGCCCTACACTGCCTGTCCCTCCCTACACCTTGCCTTGTACTTCCCTCCCCCGCCCTGTCCTTCCCCACACCTGCCCTGCCCCTGCCCCGGAGCTGCCCGACGGTCCCGAGCAGGAACTCGGAACATCCCGGCTCTGCTGTTCGCCCCCGGGGCGGTGCTTTGGCCCCAGCTTTCTGAAAAAAATATATTTAAGTGGATGCAAACCTTCACCTTTCTGCAGAAGAGCCAACAGTGTCTCTGTTCTTTCCTTGAACATCCTTGAACATTCCTCCTTAGAGCACTGCCTGGCTTCTTAGCTATCAAATTTGGGCTCCCAAATATCCAGGCTGCATTAACATCCTGCTTTGGGTACTACTGCAGTTGTTCAGTCTCTCCCAAAATTGTTCCTGCTCCTTTTGGGCTAACTTGATGGGAGATCCAGAGTTCACGAGTGCATGAGCAGTTAACATCTCTTTAAATACCTGACAGGGAATACACATGGGAGGGAACCCCAATCTCATTCTTCCTGAAGAACCCAGTATTTCCATGCTTCAGCTACCAGCCCACAAGATGAGTGCAACGCTAATACTTTACATCAATGGTAATGAGTTAATTAACATTTCTTAAGGTCCTGAAACCTCAGATTAATAGTGCTCTGGAGTATAAAGACATAATATTATTTCATTGAGCATTTGTCATTTAAAAAGCTCTATGCCTAAAGCTTTAATCAAACTCTGTAAGATGAGAGCAATTTCCTATTTGTCACACTTGGGTCTCTGGTCTCTGCTAAGATGTATGTGTAGTTAAACCACAGATTTCCTTGGAGAGGAGCAAGGGTACTGCTGTTTATATGGTCAAGGAAGGCCAATCCAACAGCAGAATCCTACACTTGAGAGAGGTCTATAGCTCTTGTAAGAGCTATTTTTAGAAGATGCATTTTGTGAATTTACAAATTGTGATATTATATCACTTCTATTAGCACAGAAAAGTATCTCCTCTTCAGTTGTTTTGCTAAAGCTCCCAAGTCTTAATGTCTCTAAAATATCCTTTTTTCTAACAAAGACTGCTATTTTTTTTAGATGAAACAATTACTGGCTACCAGATTTAAATCTGTTTTGGCAGCATAGGAATACATTCATCTGGGATACAACTCCTCTCTACACAATGGATTTTAACCACTGTGTAGGAAATAAATTTACAATTTACCCTTATGTTATGTCAGAAAGCAAGGGTATTGTTTTGAATAACAAGCAAACAACCATGAATTTTCAGTAATGTCCCCTGCTACACAAGTCAGAGCTTTTAATGGTGGTCAAGAAGACTTACTTCACTAGAACAAAATGACTTCAGATATGTATGTGTGACTGGAGGCTAAAATTTCATGGTCAATTAGCAATTGTGGCACAGACATTAATACAGGAAATGCTGAGACCTCAGTGAGTCCAACAGCAGCAAGGCAGGCTCAGCAAGAGCTGCTGAGAAGCTGCAGTGACACTGTGGAGCATCAGGGTGCTCACCTGCACTCCAGAGAGTGTCTGTGCAGAAATCCTTCTCTTTTCCAAAAAACTCCAACATACAGCAGGAGTTTTTCATTCAGCCCCATCCTATGGCTCAGCACAGTGCCAAGCAGTGAGGGTGGGAATGCTCCTTCCCAGGGCAGCCTGGATGGCTCCCTGCAGGATGGTGGCCTGCAATCACCCCCCTGAACAGAACACTGGGCACACCACTCCTCCTCCTGGGTCCTGGCAGGCCAGCTGTGTGCAGAAGGCTTTCTTTGTGTAATCAGCACTGATCACACAATTCAGGTAAATTCCTTCACAAGTATTTTTAGACATTACACACAAACTCCACCTCTTGCAATTCACAAGCAGAGAGGCTGAAATAAGGTTTTTACTCTGGAAGGTGTTTGGGAGAAAAGCAATGGGGCTTCCTGATTTTTATACCATGTTTGTTTTACAATTTCAATACAGATCTCTCTATTTACTAGTTGTCAGCCTGGCCCATTGACTATTAAAAGTTACTATTGCTGACTTCAATATGAAAATTAATAGAAATTCAGGAAGCACAATCAATGATTCTGCTCCTGCTGCAATGGCCAGGAAGCTGACTCTGCCCTACCTGCATTAGTGGTGTCACAGGGGCAACACAAACCAGCAGGAAAAGCACTAGATCTTTTTTTCATATAGAGGGATAGCAAAGTTGTTAAATTACGTGTCCTCTTTGCCTGTATTCACAGTAAGAGCACTTGCCAAGTTCCCAGAGGAATTCCTTGCCCAAGCCTGGTTTGCAGGTCTGTGATCCAGCCCTCCTGGTCTCTTGTTTTCCCAAGGGGAGGCCATCAGTTAGGGAAATTCTGCTGAAAACAATGGGAAATTCATTTTGATGTTAATTGAATTATGTCAGTTCCCATAACTATTACTTTTTCAGGTAATTGGTATATTTATTATCTGTTGTGTTAGCATTAAATATTAATTATTATAATTATGTGTAATTATATACATATTACACACAGTACTTATTTTGCACATATACTACATAATAGAGAGTAAAGGTCTTAAAACACCATATTGAGATAAAATGCTACATCTTTCCCGAATAAAAGTACTTTTCTCAATGGAAATGGTTTAATACAGACATTTAAGTTACTTTAGTTTCTAGAAAAATAACTTTTTTGCAGTCATAGGGCCTGATCTCCTCTATTTAAATTTAACACAAAGATTGCTGCTCATCTTCAAAGCAGCACAACTAAGTTCTTGGAATATATTCCTTAAAATACACTTAATGTTCCTCATGGCTGCAGTGAATAGTGCATGTGTGAGGATTAGGAATCTGCAGTATCAAGTAGGAGGTGACTGTAACTGTTTTGATCATGTGCATATTAATTCCAACTCCTGGCACATTCCCTGGGTGGGAGATTTCACACACAAGGCGAGTCCCCAATGGGAGGCAAAGGCAGCTTTAAAGTATTACCCACGTGCAGTTCTTGGCAGGTGACCACTAAAGCAGAGTTCTGAGCCTTGTGCCTTGCACTGCTGTCATTTCTGGGACTAGTTTCCTGCTGGGAATGTAACCCCATCACGGGAGTAAGCAGGGATGTGCCACTGCATCTGCTACAAAGCTGCCTAAAAATACCCCCCAAGTGGACAATGCCATGTGGTGTTCTAGGGACACAAACCAGGCTGTCAGCAAAGATTAATGATTGTTCAGCTACATGCCAAGCACATCTCAGAGTCTTAAAAAACCACAAACAATCATTTGATATTCTGTTATACATGTAATCTCTCAAGATTTATTATCATTGCTATTTAACGAATTTGCATCAGTGAAAGCACAATAAGAACATCTCACCCAAGTTTACATTGTAAGAAACGAGCCCATCTTGCAGCTTGTTTCAGTTTAAGGAAGTTCTCTGGAAATGTAGATTTTGTTCTAGAAGATGCTTCCCTTCAGGCTGACATTTTCCCCTGTGCAGATCAGATGAGCCTGATTCTTTTGCCAGTATCTCTCCTTAAAATCCCAGTTCTGCAGACTGAATTTTCAACAAGAGCTACATGTTACTGTTCTCTCTACACATGCTGTTTGAAATACCTGCCTGTATTTTCTTGCTTGTGTCTATTATCAGACTCCTTGAATTTAAAAGGTATGGTCAGAGGGCACAAATTACTACAATGCAAATAAGTGCAGGTTCTTAAATCACAGCCACAACTTTGTACCTCATCCTTCGTGGTGCCATCCAATTTGCAGAGGGTAAACTCTCCAGATCTTTGCATTTTTGAGGTTTTCAAATTCCTATTGAATAGGATTTTGAAGATATTTACAAATATTATTATTAATTCTTAAATTGCTGACCTTGAAGTCCTACCTTTATTTTATGTAAAATGGGAGTGTGATTAGACACAGAATGGAATCATAGTAACTGCAGGTCCTGGGCCTTCAATGAGAGCTGTGTGTAAATGGATCTCAATGTAAGATCAGCACCATGATTTTTTAAAAATCATTCAGAAAAAACACGACTGAAGCTAATGGGCTTTAAATATATTTTGTTACTGTTACTGTATTTGTGGCTGAAAATCCCCAAATTACATGTACACCATGGTACAGCCAGAGGAAAGAGCTTTACAAAGATTTCTGTTTATATATTTTGAGAAAAATGATTACAGACTCTTAAAAACATAGGTTATAAAACCACTACAGATTGAACTTCGTTCTTATTATGTACTGTGCTGGTCTGCCAATTCTGCACACACAGAAACCATGAGAGAGACTGTTCCAAAGTCTTATGAGCTTGTTTTTCTCAGGAAACCACCATTCCAAGAACTGTAAGATGAAGAAAAACATGAAGTTGCAATCAGAAGGCCTAAATTAGCAACTCTGAAGACTGTCAGTATGTTTTGTAATCCACAGGAGGAGAAAACCACAAGTGCTGTTAGGGACAACTGTGTCTAATATCCAAATCTGACATTTCTGTAACCATCCATCACTGGGATCACCACCCATACACAGCCAAGAGTTTGTTACTTTAACACAGGGGACAAGCTCACATGTTTGTGGGCAATTATTCCAGGAAACAGCAAATCATGTTACCTCAACAACTCCACAGATTCTTTCTTCCCTAGAAAAAATATTGAGTAGATTGGGGGATACCTGTGCATGTTGCACATTTTAATTTAAGAACACAATAAGAGAAGTTTTTCACTACTTTCATGATTATCTACTGATTAGAGTTTTTATTTCCTACATGACTATGCATTTCAATCTCTTTTACTCTCCTTTTTCTTTTGTGCTAAACCAAACATTTGCCAACTCCATCACCATGGCTGAAATAGTTTCCCATTAAAAAGAAACAAGAGCATCCTACTATTTATTGCCTTCTCATCTTCCAGGTTGGAATTACAATCATCCCTGAGATGTGCATACAGTGTGTTGACACTCAAGACCACTGTGAAAGCTTAACTTTGCAAGATCTGTATCATATAATTTCCTCACTGTAACTCTTGGAATTCCAAAAGAAAACCAACATATGCAAAACCCAACAACAGAAAACAGCTTATATGGCCTAAGATCACTTTACTACTCCCTTATCTTTCAGTAACCGTTGGCTTACTGTTGTGTGCCTAAAAGGATCCAAAATACACATATTTGAGTTATAGTATCTTGATCATCAGGTTGAACTAAAAAAAAGATGCACCTGTAGGTTCTGTTTACCTGCTTCTCTGTATTATTTAGCAGTGCACACACAGAGGGAACACCTTTCTTCCCCTCAAACCTCAGCTGTCCCACGCTGACAGATCCAACTCACAGCAGAGCTGCACAATTCACATGTGCACTTCTGCTGGGACTGAGGGTTTGTTTCCTGCCTCTCCCACCAGGGAGAACCGTGATCTCATAGTCTGATACAGACTTGGGAGCTTTGCCTACCTCCTTTTACAATGCTGCCATTGACTGGATGTCCTGCCAAAGGGCTGGAGCCACAGTTATTGATCTCAGCAAAGCCACATTTACACCGAGAGATGAATCAGGATCCTTGGGGCCAAAGGACAGCAGAGAGGTTTGCATGTGCCTCTGGAAACAAGAAACTGAGACAGGGTACAGAGAGCACCACTCACTGCTCACAGGCACTGAAAGGTGATGAAGGATCTAAATACTGTGGAATGCCAGAGAAATAACCTCTGGTAGCCCCTGATCTTCAACTGAGGGATTTCTGGGCTGTAAAAAAGCCAACAGTAGAGTGAACCATAAACCCTGGGAGATCTGCTTCTGCATCCCTGGCACGTGTCCAGCAGTGCAGGATATTTGCACCCAATAACCCAGGCAGTTGTGCACCATTTCCACTGAGGAAGCTTAAAGAGCAAGCAAACAAAAAATTACTGGGCAGTGTATCAACAGCTTTAGTGATGAGAGAGTGAGCTGCTCAAACCTGATGTCAGGTGTATCAAGGAGAACCCAGCCCAGGGGGTGGACCACAATGGAAGCAAACCATACACACTCTTGGCAGCAGTTACCCAGAAAGTATGAAAGCACCAGGAGCTGACTAAACAAATCAGGAACCTGAAACCAGCCAGTGAGCTCAGCTATGCTGGTTTTCCTGCTGGAGCCAGAGGAAAGTGGTGCTCAGCCAACCAAGCACTGGGAGCTGCTCCGGTCCCTCGGAAAACACACCACCCTGGGCTGCCAAGCTTTAGTAGATAAGTGCCACTCTTCCCTGTCAACATCCTGAATATCTTCCCAAGCATAGGACAGACAGGTGGCCAAAGCTCCAGCATGGCCAAGGACTAGCTCATAGGCATCTCACATTTCATGATGTCACCAGGAGACCTGGCCTGCTTTGCACAGGACACTCCAAAGGCTCCGTGTGGAGGAGCACAGAAGAGTCATTTCTGAAGGAAGCTTTGTCAGTCTCATGTCTTGTGGATTCCTGCCTTCCTGTAGGCCAGTAACTTCAGTCTCAATCTCAGGCATATACTGATATATGATACACAGTGAAAGACTGAGTATTTTTCAGGAATCAATGAAGAAACCCTAGGAGAAAGGTAGTTCAATACTAGTCAGGCCTGCACGAGGTCACAGCTTTATCCACTACACTTTTCTGTGTGTTACCAAGTAATTCAGCAAAGTTTTGTCCACGAGATACTGACTTACATGTTTCTCTGTTCAACCTACTTTCGTAATTCCATGTCCTCCATTACAAAATTACTCCTTATTTGGCAGTTTCCTAAAATACAAAAAATCTTTACAGGCAAAAGGTGGTGACAGCACCATTAAGGCAGTTGAAATTTAGTTGCCTTTGTTACAGTGCCCTAACAGAAACTAAGGCAATGCAATAGCAGTTGCTATCCAGTCCCCCTGCACCAATCCTGTGTTGCAGGAACTACCACATGGAAATTCTTTAAAACTATCATTTAGGCTTCTTTAAATATTTATATATATTTATAAACATATATGATTTTTTGGTGTATTTATATAAACGTAAGTTAAAATAAATTAAAATAAGAATTTCATGTCCAATATGAGACACCAAAAAAGCCAAATTCTGTTATCTGAAACATATATAACATCTTAATGCAATCAGTTGGACAAGGTCAAACAAGCACAACATCATTTGGCAGGCAGCCCCTAATTTCTAACACTTCGTAGAAGGGACACTATTTTTCTATACCTGTTTATAAATGTTCTAGAATTAATTCTAAATTTTGTTTCACTTCTTCTTAAAGAGTATTTAGACTCTATAACATTAGAAGTTCTCAGTATGCTATTAATAAGCTGGGTCAGCTACACAGAATTACATTTTACTCTTTGTCACAATCTTACAGTGGTATCTACTTAAATGCTATACTCTTTTCTAAGTAAAAAAAAATTCAGTCTGGTTCTCATTGCCACATTTACAGCATGTCTGTTTTAAACAATAATCTAAGTTCTACTATGACCAAATGTCAACAGTTCTTTTGTCTTACAAATATTGTCTCTCAGCACCTCCACATTTGATGCATACCTTGAACACTTCTAAGCCAACTGCTCTTGCCTTGCTAATAATTCATTATCACTTACTACTCATCAGAATAAATTTTTTAACTACAAAACTTCTCCAGTACTGAGATGGCCATGTAAACCATTTTACCACAGCTGGCTGAGGAGTACATTTTTGTGGTTTTGCAAGCTGATTCCCTTTCATGAAAAGTTTTCAAGAAAACAAGCAAAATGAGATCCCAGACATCTGAATCACCAGACAGTAAAAAAAAAATTATATATATATTTAAGTATTTGACTTCCTAAAGCAAAAATACGAACTGCCAGTGACCCCCTTGTGTGTGCAGTCAGAGCACCCCATTCCTGGGCCCAGCCAGTGGTTGCAACAGGTAAAACATTTACTTCAGTCCAATGAGTCCAGTCCTTCATTTCAGCCCAACTGGAAGTTGTTTTTTTAAGCAGAACAGCAATTAAAAAACAAACACATCTCCTTCATCTCTGGACTAGGGACACTGACCTTATAAATATCTGAAATTCTTCCACTGCCTGCAAACAAAAATGGACTGCAGGCAGCCATGATCATATGTCACCCTGACAAAACATTCTTACTCCTTGGCTACTTTTTGGAAAGGTTATTTGCTGTCAATCAAGTGACAAGTTCTGCTTATAATAATGGTGATGACATCAGACCTGTAGAAGAGAAGATTAGTATGGGGAGTCTAAATATATAAACCAGAAGGTCATGGGACACATCCAATGTCAGTTGGAGTCAATGGCCTCCATTCAGTTTGATCAAAACTGGATCCATGGAGGATTAAGAGGTTCATATATATAAATATATATTTATTTATTTTCCCTACAGCCAGTATGGTTTGCAGCCGAGGATTTTTTAAGGTGACCTGGATCTCTGATATGTCTGACAAGAAAAGGTGCTCGTCCCTATTTTTATTTTTAGGTGGCCATATATAGTCAGTCATGTTCATCCTTTCCTAAGTGGGACTGGCCCTGTGGAGGTAACGGGCAGGAATTGTTCCAAACAGCAGGCTGGGGGCTCTGCCCACACACTGCTTTTGCCATGTGGTGGTGTTTACAAAGCCACTGGGCAAGAGGCCAGCTCGTGTTTTAAGCCTCAGGTTGGACACAATGGTTGGTCAGTGTGTTGAGGCCTATAAAGCACAAGTCAGCAGCTTTTCCTGTCGGGCAGCAAATAACTAAATTTCATTTGTCTCAAATGGGATTTTAGTTGTCCAGGGCTGCAGGACAAAGGGACTGTTCCCCCCCCCCCCTCGACAGCTGGACTGGATGATTTGTGAAATGTATTTTTAGAAGTCCTATTTGCCCACATGTATGCCTGCATTGTCAAACATCCAGGCAGCAAGAGGGGTCAGGCTCGGAGCCACGAGGGCTGTGACATACTGTACAAACTGTACCACACTGCTCCATCTAATCCTGCATTTCCATCCCTGCTCCCCCCAGCTCACAGACACAGCCCAAACATCAGTGCAACACTCCTGCTGCTCTCCCTGCACTTCCACATGCTGTCAGGACAGCATTCACAGTAATTAGTAACCACAAAGGGGAAATCACTGCTGATACAATAGGACATTAGTGCTCAAGCCTGTTTTCCAAAATCACCCTGATTTTCCCCACATTTCCTTTTCCTAAACATACCCCTACCTGATTAACAGAAACAAACTCTTGTAAATTAGCTTTTTCCTTTAACAAGACAACACACTCTTGTGGGATTTTATTACTAACATTGATCCTCCTAATCTTATCCCACACCTTGCTGACTGGCATATCCTCATTAACATCTGCTCATGGCTATTGTGCCAGTGCTGCTTTTTTCCCAAGCTAATGATTTCTTCCTCCTACAGCCTATGACATCCAGTTGCACTCCTAATACATTTCAAAGCTGGTTTCCTATCTCTAAACAACATTGTTACATTTTTTGTTTAAACAGTGTACTGATTTCCTTCCCTTCCTATTCAATGTAGGTCTTGGAAAGCCCTTTTGACATATATGTAACATCAATGGGAAAATCATAAATATAACTGAATACATCTATTCTATGCTGATTTACATAGGACTTTACTAAATAGTTATTACCATCTTTCATAACAGTTAGAACTCACAAAATAAAAATAAAATATTCAGGATAAATATTGCATTTATGCCTTCAAGAAAATAATTTTAATGTACAATGTCACAATGGATATCTACACTCCATATTTTCTAGTCCTGAAAAGTTTCCCCTTTATTCTGCATTGGTTATTACACCCTCTGTTGAACTGCATGTTTTCATGCCCTGTTCATATTAGGAAGTGTGAACTTCCTACTTATTTCACAGTCTGTCTAAAATTGCTGCCATCTGGTAAGACATATTAGCTTTAAGGCTGAGATTCTTACCAGTCTTTTGTGCCTTTATGCTCTTAATCTATAAACTTCATCTGTAGGAAATTTCCAATGAAATGTCTGATCTTCAGAGACAGTTATGTGTTAAAAGTTCTTATATAGCACTGCAAGAAACCCCCTATAATAATATGTAAATAAATCAAGCAAGTCAAAATAAAAAATACACTTATTGCGTGTAGCTCCACTGTTAGTGTTGACAGAACCAAATCCTGCACAGCTCCACTGAATACAATTAAATCACCAGGAGAACAAAACAGGAGCAGATTTGGACACCTTCAGGTAGTGTGAAAGGACATGCTCATGCTTTGTACCGACCCATATGTCTGGTTTGTAGAACAGATTTCTGCCTGGGAATATGCTTCAGGCAGGGTGGCCTATGTAGTTTTGGGATCTCTTGGTGAAATTGCAGAGACCTGGACAGATCCGAGGGCTGGGAATCACCAACCACGGGGAGTTCAACAGGGGGAAGTGCTGGATTCTGCCCCTGGGATGGGGC